TTCACATGTTAACACCCCAAACAGCTCAACGGTGATGAAAAGCTTGGTGGCTGTCTGGGTCTTCTCTACCTCAATATCCACATCCCAGAGATCTGGGGGAAATCTCGTTCATCATTCCACGTTCTCCTCCTGTCCCTCTCAGCTCCAGTGTGTGTGTGTGTGTGTGTGTGTGTGTGTGTGTGTGTGTATGGACAGGGAGTGGAACCAGCTCTTTGGAAAGCCTCCTTGAGCAGTGACAGCCCTGCTGGCCCATTCTGCATGCTCCTTGGTGCCTGACAAGAACTGAACATGTGCTGGAACTAACTATTATATCTCCAGCGTGCTGTGAGGCTGACAGAGAGATGCAAGATGGATGGGGGATTTAGGGACTCAGTGGTTTCATTTAATCAGAGTGTGTGACACTCCCCTGGACCAAGGCAGAAAACGCCTTACAAAGACGTAAGTCTGCAGAGACGCTGTATCTGTGTGAGTGCACGCATGGGGCACGTGTACAGGTAGGCATCTGTGCACACCCAAGTGAGCAGAGCTGACCAGTCCCTCTCACATGGGACCAGTTTGCTCTGAGAGGAGGAAGGCTTCTGTATTGGCTGCTGCAGGAAGAAGCCCCCTGCCCACAAACACCTTCTGCCTCTGGGTTTATGACGTCCTAATGTTGGCTTCTCCTGTTTGGTTTTCCTGTTAGAATACGATTCCTTGATTGAAATGAGCTTGATAATGTGATCGATTTCCCTCTATGCCTTTTATTCTCTATCACTTAGATTATTGCCTCTGGGGCAAATGCTGTGTCTTTATTTTTTATTTTCTCTCTCTCTTTTTTTTTTTTTTTTTTTTTGCCTTACATAAGTCCCCCAAGCACCATGGGCGCTGAGCAAGTAAATAACCAGAGTTGTGAAATGGAGTCTAAAATGTACAAAACAGTCTCATCTGTCAAAATTTGGACACCAGAGCACAGAGTCAATTATCACATATTAGCTTGCTCTTGTTGGCATTTTAATGCATTTAGAAAAGATTCACTTGCTTTACACACACACACACACACACACACACACACACACAGCCAACTCAGAACACAAGCAAAATTGAGGCTGTTTTAGACAAAACTCAGCTTCCACCTCAGACTCGAAAGATTACTAGACACAATCAAGCTAAAATTCTTTTACTTTAAAAAAAAGATGAAGACCCTGAATAGTCCCTCTCCCAAGCAAACTTCAATCAAACAGTGGCATCCCAAATATAATCTTAGATTTTTTAGAAGCATTTTTTCACAGACTGTCTTGTGTGATTTTTTCCTAAGATGGTAAAGCAGGGCAGACATATCACATGCCCATTTTAAAGGTGAGGAAACTGATACCCAAAAGGGTGAAGAGACGTTTTATCGATGCACAGGGAGGAAGGAAGTGGGGGGCGGGTGCGGACAGTGGAGGAGAAGGCAAAAAAGAAGGAAGACACAGAAAGGAAGAAGAGAGGAAGAGAGGGAAGGGGGAGAAGTGGGGAAGAAAGTAGAGAGAAAGGAAAAGTAACGTATGAAACCATTTTTTAGCAATTAACTCCTCAGCCCCATTTTGATAACATCTGTAGAGACAGAAATGAATAGTTTTAATATGAATCGTGCTAATGGCGATAACAGGAGTGTGGTAGCAAAGCAGTAGTCATAGTAGCAACCAGGGGCAACATTATTGCCTTATCTTTATCTACCAAGTAATTTTCCAGGGCACTTGCAGTGTTTCCTTCATCCTACAAAACCAGCTTCCATCCTACAAAACCATCTCCAGGCACCCACAGAATGGTTACTACAGGTCCCATTCTATGATAAAGAAGCTGAGATGCAAGAAGACCCCCTTTCCTCCAATTGCACAGCATCTGGGGACCACCTTGCATCTTCTCGCTCGGGTGATCCTGTTTTGATTCCCTCATTAGCCGGTGTCACTATGCATAACTAGCAGCTAGTGGATCCCACCCTGTAGGTTCAGCTGCTGTCTTGGGGAGGGAATTTGGATCGGGGGAACCCCAGGTCGGACACAGGTGAGGTAAGCATCAAAGATGAGATCACAGAAAGATGTGTGACATGGGAGGGATCCCACCATAGCGGGCTGGGCTCTCTAAGGGTGGCCCGGCGGAGCCAACTCCCAAGAAAGGGTTCAGTCTAGGAGCAAGGAAGGTGCAGGCTGAGTCTTCTGTTCTGGCTGATGATGAGGTCTCTCCAGTTACGTCTCTCTGCCTCCAGCATCGTATCTCCATGCACCCACAGAAAGAAGTCTCACGTTTGGTTTGAGGATGGTGATTTTGATTTTTTGACTGTCTAGATGCATTTAGGTCCCCTGACCCAGAAGAGTATCACCAGGGGCTTCAGTGTGAGCACAGCATGGTAAGACCCACTACCTGCAATGTGATTTGGCAACTCTGCCTTTGGAAAACACAGTCTGCCATTATGGGATGAGGACCCCTTGATCATATCCACCCAGGTAGGCAGTGTGGCTTTATTGATGGCAAGATGTGTCATGAGCAAGGTGGTGGCAGAGAGAAGAACATCCTGTCACCCTCCATGCTTAATTGATGGCATTCAGAAAGAAAAGCAGGACATGGATTTTTAAAGAATCCCAGAGATCCCCATCCTTTCTGCCATTAAGGCATGTTACTTGAGTGATACTAAAGGATAAGGCACATTCTGAGAAATGTTCTGGAGATGATGGAAACAGAATCCAAATGGGCAGTATCACCTTCTGCACAAATGGTGATCCCCATGGAAACCCTTAAAACTCTGGGGGTGTCAATTAACAACTGAAAGAAACACCGAACACACATCCCTTTCCTGATTGCTGGAGGCTCCCCAGCCTTCCTGGGTAAGAGATGAGCACAGCAGTTATGACCAGACCTCTGGGCTAATTATTCTTTTAGAAATATGAAGGAATAAAGGGTGGTGGGGCAGGGGGGGAGTAGAGAGAGAAGCGGAGCTGTCAGTGTGCTTGGTGTTAAATAAAACCTACCAAGACTCAGCTGAGAATTTTAGCAGAATCCAAATGTGCTAGGGGAAGAAGGAAAAAAAAAAAGGCATGGCTCCCATCTCTAAGGTTCACAGCTAAGCTGGCTTAGAATCACACATGCCAAGGTTAAAAATAAAAAGCAGCCATCCCTGAATGACACAGGCTCTGAGAAGGAAGCCTCAAGTATGTTTGGAGGTGGAGGAAAGAAAGGGGGAGGAGAACCTGGGTTCAGAATTGAGGTGCTTTTCGGAGGACACATCACCTAAAAGTCAGATGCTCAAAATGTTGCTGTTTTATTCTTAAAAGGTACTACACATGGGCAAAAGATTTCATCATAATCTTCAGATTGTCCATCGAGGAAACCCTGGCGTGCATTTGAATGTGGCCGTGGCTGACCCACTCGGGCTGGGTGCTGCTGTCTGGGCATTTGCCAGGGTGGACTGGCTCAGACAGTGTCCTCATACACCTAGATGGGACACACCAGTGGTCTGGTCCCAGCTCAAAAAGCACAATGGGCCATCAGCAGGGGGCCCTACCTGCCACTGTATGCCACTCATTCCACAAACCAGATAAAATGGTGCTGGGGCCACCCACAGGCCAGCAGTCCTCTGTGTGGCTCCACTGCAGACAGACTGTGTGTCTGCTTCCTGAGGATAGCATGTGACCCATCCCTAGCCCCTACATCCACAACCACCATAGGCAGAGGCTACTTGGTAAAGGTGACACATTGACCCTTAGTTCCCTCTTCTTGCAAATCCAGGTCTTCCTATGATGAGTCCCATGAGTCTAGTGAAATTGTCCCCTGTCCAATATGCCTATAACCTCCACTGCCTAATGGGCTTACTTCTATAAGAATAAAAGAATCAGCCTCAGCTACTCTTTCAGCTACCAGATGACCCCTCCACACTATGCAGGTGTCTCCAGAATGTCTTCAAGAGGTCAGTAAATGTGAGAATTCTGCAACCATATGTCACGGGGAGTCCATACATTATACCAGCCCCAGGGACGCCCTGACTTAGCCTATGTGTGCTGATCCTACACTTCTGCACCACACAGGGTTTGGGACGGTGGGGGTGGGGGGGGGGGGGGGGGGGGGGGGTGGCTGTTACCTTATAGAAGACTCATTGTATGCTCAGACACCCCCAGGCCTGGGTAACTCTGGATCCTGACAGTGCAACAGAGGAGAGGACAATCTACTGTCTGTCCACCCTCTAGGAGACTCCAGTCAGCCTTCATTTGAGGTGCCCTCCTGTATTACGAATTCCACATCCTGAATGCTAAGCGGAATTTCTACACCTTTAAAGCACATTAGCAAAGCATTTGGAAGCAGACAAGGCAAAAACCGGCTTCTCTGCCCACTGGGGTAGACCGGAACGAGGCTGGGAGACTTGAGGGAACTTGCTCAAGCTAAAGACTTGAGTCCAGGCTTCTTTCCATTCCTCCAAAACCACGGACCCAGGTCAGACCTACTGCAGGGGGGTCAGCAAATACCTGGGGCTGCAAACGAGACTCCCTAAGGGTCTTTCTCATTCTTGAGACCTCGGCAGATGCCCTCTCATTCTGACTGAACCCTGGGGACCTCTCCGAAGCAGAGCCCCTACGGAAAGGGGTCTCTGCTTGACTTCTTTACAGAGTCATAGTACAGGGACCAGAAAAGATCCACCTAGGGTCAGGGGATAGGACTGGGGTCAGGCAGCACGTGGCCTGCCCTGCCCTGCCCCTTCCCTGGGATCCCTGCTCCATCCGCTCTAAAGGCTGAACCCTGAGCCAGCCCTCCAGCTGCCATTGAGGCTCGCCTGGAAATCTCCCTTTCCTTACGCGGACAAGAGGGAACGCCCTTTGCAGTAATCCTGGGAAGTTCTGGATAAATCCTGCTAGAGCCCCTGACCCGCCACGCCACGTGTTGTCTGAACCCATCCATCAAACTGGGTGAAGGGGAAGAGAAAACTCAGAGATGACTCCAAGGATGGAGGAGATGACTGGAGACCTGGCACAGAGAGAGGGGCTCCCCCTCCTTACCTGTACCAGTCCAGCCCGCGGCCGTAGTTCCTGTCGAAGAAATGGGGCTCCGTACCCAAGGCCCGCACGTCCGGGTGCACGCGGATAAACTCCAGCACGGCCCGGGTGCCCCCCTTCTTCACACCCACAATGAGTGCTTGGGGCAGCCGTTTGGTACCCAGTTTCGGTGAACCAGAGTGGTTGGAAGCGGACAGGCGAGGGGCGGGCACGGCGGCCGCGGGCGCGCTGGGAGCGCTGGGCTCGCTGGGCGTCGGCCCGTGGGGATCACAGGGGAGGGACTTCTGGAGAAGTTTCTGGCCGCTCGGGCTGGGACCGCGGAGGCAGCGAGGCGCGCCTAGGAGCCGGCTCCGGCCGAGATCGTCGCAGCAGCACAAGAAGCTGTAACACAGGTAAGTGCAGGAGAGCGAGAGCGTGAAGGCGAAGAGCAGCCTGCGCGCCCTCCGCGGCTGAGGTGGCCCCGCACGGCCCAGGACCCTATAGGCCATGGCTCCATGGGCCCGCGCCGGGGGTCATGGTTTCCGAGGGGGCACCTGCGGCGGAGCTGCTGTGGCCCTGCGTCGCCTAGAGGGCTCGCGTGGCTCTGCCCCGGCAGCGTGGGTCGGGTGTAGGGGGCGCCGTCTTCTCCGGGCGCTGCTGGCTGGGGCGCGCACCGTGCCCCGGGATCCCGGGGGCTGCGGCTCCTCGGGAAACAGGCGGCTGCATTCCCAACATCGCCTGGTCCTAGGCGATGGGGCTCCGGGCAGCAGGGCGGCTCCTGGCGCTCCTCGGCTCCTCTGTGCGCCGGGTACAGAGCGCGCCCAGCGCCCGAAGCCCCATTCCCGACGCTCGGAGCGCGGCGCACGGAACGCTCGGCGGCCGCGCGACTGTACCGGCCGGAGGGCGGACCGGACGGTGGCGCTGGCGCCGGCCGCGATCCGGCTCCTCGGGAAATGCCGAGCGGAGCGCGCTGCCGGCTCTATTTAAGGAGTCGCCTGACGTCAGCCGCGCGGGTCCCCCGAGCCCGCACCGCGCCCGGGGACCTGGCCCGCCCCCTGCTCCTCCACGGTCTCACTCCTCTCGGGGACACCCTACCCCAGGCCCTCTCCATGCAGGCCGCTCTGTGAGGAGCCTGACCAGCGTGGGGCGGTGATGGAAGGGTGTCTTAGGTTCATCGTGTACTCCGCCGGAAGGCTGGACATCCCTACCACACTGACCTCCCGACACCGAGGGGTAGAACCCAGACTGCGCCAACATCCAGTCCAGACAGAACTAGGCGAAGACGAAAGCACCCCTACCGACCCCGATGCGTGGTTCCACACACGCACCACATACGCAGGAGCTCTTTGACCCGGACACACCCCCACATCACCCTAGGGGATGGGATGGAGAAGAACCCTAATTATGTCTTAGAAATACACGGGGACACACCCCCTCCCCCGCCATCTCGCCACGCAGACACTCAGAGCCGGGAATCGGACATCGTGCAGTGCGCGCACACACACGCCTGGGACCCGGAGGCACGCTGTAAATGGGATGGGTGGAGGAGCGGAGCGAGAGTGAGATTCCGTGACTACTCATGGAGCTCCTTAGCCCCCCGCGCGCTGACTCACACCCAGGCGGCTCGCTCTGTCTCACACCCGCGAAGCACGCACCTCCACCCCAGTCTCACTCCACCTCTCCCAGTGCCTGGAGGCAGAGCGAGCCCCCAGAGCCGCGGATTCCGCGCCAGGCAGATTCCTCTCTTAGCGGTCGCCCCCTAGCGGCAGACTGCTCCCCGGGGAGTTGTCCAGGTCCTTAAGGGGTAGGTAGGGTGTTCTGGGCTGCTTCGTGCAGTGGATCTGAGAGAGGAGGGAACAAAGGACAGAAAGGACTTATTCAGGTCCAATTCTACTTTGAATGATTCCTAAGCGACAACCGCAGAACCACTGTCAGTGACCATGCCCAGAATAGGCTTGAGTGATTAGCCCAGTGCTGGGAACCACACATATCGCAGAATTGGAACCCTGCGGAAGAACAGATCTGAATGGCCATCACTCGAAATGTTGCTGAGCTGTCTCTCAACGAAGCCAAAGGACCGTGTAGGGTGTTTCCAAAGTGGTGACCACTGCCACTCCCATGCTCCGTTCAGGCTGTGACTGACTTCAGGGCATAACCTGATCTTAAGGACATGTGGATTTTAACTAAAAACCCAGGAAATATTTTGTCCCCAAACCAGGCATGTCCATAGGGACCTTAGATCATTCCCTCTACTGTAGATAGTAATCATGGTTACCAACTTTATACAGAGCACGTGGCACATGTTAACTGGTTCAATATTTACTACTACCTATGAGTCTGTTACCTTTGCTCTCCCTTCATTTTGCTTGCTTAGTTCTAATAATAGCTAACATTTATCAAGTGCTTGTGTTGTGTCTTTAATGTGCCAATCACTTGACATGCTCTCTACATCATTCATCTTTGGAGATAGGTACAATTCCTAATCCACGGTGAAAAGGAGGTTTAATGAACACATTCTCAGTAAATTGGCAGAGCTGAGATAAAACCCGGGCAGTCTGACTCCAAAATTCAAGCTCTTAATTACAGTGTTCGAAAGCCCCCTTATCTTCCTTTGACCCTTATTCACATAATTCCATCCAAAGCTCCTGACCTGGATGTGAATGAACTTGTCTTTCATAATCAGACACCTGGGCCTGAATGAGGAATTCCAGGTGTACACTGAAAAGTTCAACAGGACCCTCACCTCCTTTCTGCAAACTCTATTTCTAGTAATACCACCTAAGACCCCATTATCTTTTTCTGGTGGATCCATCACATCATGAACATCTCAAGCTTGTAGCCAAGTAACCTCTCTCTCAGTTCTTCCTTCAAGTGCTGCTGATTAAGGCACATCGACCCCATACTGTTTTTTGTACAGTGGGGCTTTTTTGGATCCAACACGTAGGTCCTTACACATTTGACCTGATTAAATTTTATCTTGTCTCATCAGTTAACTGCTCCAGTTTTTAAAAGGAAAAAAAAAAAAGTCTACTTGAATCTCAGGACATGATGTAGCCTTCATATATTCAAAAAGAAAAAGTAGAAAGATCACATCCCACTTTTACCCTTGATTCCAGGAATACTTTGCCCTCTTTTGAGCCTCAGTTTCCCTGGCTACAAAATAGGGACTTAGGAAAACCCTCCAAAATCTTATGGGGTTCTGGTAGTGTAATTCTCTGCTCCTGTGATTCCATTACCCAAAGCATGAACCAGTCTTCTGACATGTCCTCTCCACATTTGATTACAATTTAATTAATTCTTCACTCAAATTGTTAATAAAAATGTCAAAACAAATATGTTGAAAGGAGTTCTAATATCTACTTTCAACAATTTTTCACATCATGAACCTGTTATTTCCGCACTCCATTGTTAAAATTGCAAGGTTAAACATAGAGTAATCCACTCTGACAAGTGCTTTTTTTTTTTCTAGAGAAAAACACGGATATGGTTATTTCTCACGATTTTGTGCTCAACTGAATTTTAAAATTATTTTAATCCCTGAACCCATAAAGTCTGAAATTCCCAGATACACCAAAACCAGGCAGGTTTTTTCTTCCTCAAATTTTCAACAATGACAATTAGATAATTGGTATACCCAAATCCCTCCACTACCACCACCACATAACACCTGGATCATTTTATAGGAGCACCATGATTCTCCTTTGGGAGTATCAGGTAGGATTATGTTGAGTTGTGGGGTTTGTCAAATAACGGTCATTAAACAAAATATATATTTATTTTTCTATCCCATGAAAATGATCGACAAAGGTGATTCAGGAATGGTATAGAAAGCCCCACGATGTTAGAAAACAAGTCTCCTCCTATCTTGCCGTTCCACTGTGTGCTTTTTTCTTCCAAAGTCACTGGTATGCTAAGATGCCATCCTGTTCACATTCTGACCATCAGTAAGGAAGAAAGGGGTATAGAAAGCCATATTTGAGAGCCTTCCTTGGGAAAAAATCTGTGTTATTTTCACCCATCTTCAAATGATCACAATGCTTTTGCATTTCTATCTTCAGAATGTAGTCTTGATTTGGGGTCTCGCCATGCCTGGCTAAATCTTGGAGCTTTTTGTTACCAAGGAAGAATTTATGAATGATTATAGAAGGCAACTAGTAATCTCTGTCATTCTTTGGAAAAAAAGCTTCCCCGTGATTTTTTTCCCCACGTGGGTTGTGTGGCTTGAGCCTACTTCAAAGAGAGCCTATGATCAAACCAGGTGCCCTCATTTTATAATCATATTTCAATGATTGACAGTAACTCAGATTTTTCCAGTGAGAATCAATCACAGAACTTTGGTTGATGCCCTTTTTTTCTTCGTAGACCATGACCTAGTCTAAGGTCAGCCTGGCCCTTCCAGGGATCATCTCTGCCATCGAGAGGGGAGATCCTGAGAATGCAAAGAGGAAAGTGAGATCCCTGAATATCCTGTGAACTTTAGAATCTAGCTATGCCAAAAGCACATCCCTGGACTTTCTTGCTCCCGTTGATTATTAGTTCCCTGTTAGTCTCCACTAAAAAAATAACAAACAGATAAAAATAAGGTTTTTCCCCCCTTCAAAAATGCAATAAGGAACATTTTAATAAAAAGTGGTGGAGGTAAGTTGGGGGCTTATTCTGAAGTATATGCACAGAACAGGACTGGAACCCTTCCAAATTCGAGATCCCTGTAAGATCAAGCTACTTTTTCATTTTCTTTGCTTCTCCTTGTGTTTTATTTTTCTTTTCACTCTTAACTGTCATTTTCTCTCTGTTTTTGAATCAGTAAGGGTTCCTGATTTGTGATCAACAGAAACTGACTTTGGCTATTATGAGCAAAAAGGAATTTTTGGATAGCTCACATGGGAAAAGAACTTTGAGTAGATCACAGAATTAAGAAGAAGTCTGGAGCACTGGACTCAGAAACCATAGCAGTCTCAGAACACATGTCTTTCTCTTGTTTTTCTCGGAGTCTCCATTTCTCTTTTGTACCCAGTGTTATCTTGAATCTTCCTTCCCACTCTTGTATGGAAGACCTTGAATTTGAAATCATGAAACACAGACGTTGTCTTCCCCTTAATGCTTTGGACCTAATCAAGCCTTATTAATCAGTTTTATTTCAATGTAATTTTGAATCTTTTCTTGAGAGCAGAGTTTTATAAAATGTGAGAAAATGTCCCAAAGAAGGTGACTCTTATAGGGCAAAGAGCAATGAAGTGGAGTCACGTGATCTGATCCATGAGGTGCCAAGTTCACTCTGAGCCACGAGGGTGTGCACAAACATTCCACATTTAGATGAGAAATACTTTGGCTCATGCTCCATTCTCTGGACCAAATCATCCGAGGGCAAAATTTCAAGGGGCTTCCCAGTACTGCCAGAGAAAACAGGCAAATATAGAAGACGACAGACCATGGACCATCTTAAGGACTTTGTAAGATTGAAAAAATCCTTTGTCTTTCTCTGTGTTGTTGCTGTTGTTATTGGTAACAATCATCATCGTGGTCATGGTCATCAACAGCACCATTTATTGCAATACTTGCTCCACACCAGGGACTGGGCTCAGCATCGAGATGCATTGCCTACTTTAATCCTCTCAATAAATCTATAATGCCTACCATATTGATTTATTGAGAAGATTTATTGAACCTATATTATCGTATCACACCTGTTTGACGATCTGGCCTTCCTAGACTCTCAACTCCTTGAGGGAAAGGGCTTAGCAGCTGTTTCTAACTCAGCCTGCTGCTGAGTTTGGACTGCATGTTCATGTTGGAATTCCCTTGGTTTCTTTCTCTCTCTATCTTTGATGGACCGCCGAATATTACCCCCACCGAGGCTTCCAAGGAAGAACTAATATTTCATTTCAAAGTGTATCCAAGACGGATTATTTGTAAAGTC